GGGGAGAAATGGATTTTTTCCCCCCAGTGGTTTTCCATTATTTTGTATGGATCTCTCTTCTGATGACACACTCTTATCTCATATATTAGTTTCACCTTTTAAGTTGCATTACTGGAATAAATGAACTTTTGCACAATATTCTAATTTTCTGAGATTGTGGATTTGGGGTTTTCAGCTGAGCTGTAAGCCATAATCATCACAATTATGACAAATCACAGCTTGGACTATCTTGCTTTGCATGTAATGAGTCTATCTCACATATTAGTTTCACCTTTTAAGTTGCATTACTGGAATAAATGAACTTTTGCACAATATTCTAATTTTTCGAGTTTCACCTGTATTTCCTATCTCAGTAAAATTCAAAGAAAATATTGAAAATTATGTGGTATACTTTTTAATACTATTTTTATAGAGGGAGGGGCCTATGAAATGAAAATTAAGGCCTACAGAAATGATTCTGGTCCCAGCCTCCCCAGATCTGCATCAGGAATATTTTTTTTAAACTAGCTTGGAAGAAATAAAAGCAAAATAAGTAAGCTGGTATCATTTCCTGTGGTTGCACCTGTGCCCCCCCCCCCCAAAGCCCTTGATGCTGCCATGTGAAGATGGCTGCACCTGGCTCTTTTGCCCAATAAAACCAATGTACGTCTAAGGCAGAGAAACCAGAGCTGGAGAGCTTGTTTCCTGGAGCTCCCTTAATGAAAGCACATGTGCCCTATTTAGTGCAACAAAGGGAAACTAATTAATTGAAAGCTGTCTCCTGACAGACAGAAACATGGGAATCAGATCTGGGATTACTCAATGAAAATTTCCTTTACTTTTCAACCTGTGGCTGTACATTACTTGGCAACTCTTTCAAAGGAACAGAAGATAGTTATTCAAGATCCAGCAGTGGATCTTGGAAGCAGGGAACAATGCAAAATAATGATGGAAGCAGGGAACAATGTAAAATAAATGTAACAAATAATCCTCTCCTGAATGGTGAAGTAAGTGTTATATACATTATATGTAAAAGGAAATAACAGAGTTCATTTCCATGCTAGTGATTTATAGCATCTTGCAGTGTCATCTACCTATTTTTGTACCAATATATAGTTTGTCTTCATTGACACACAGTGCAACCACTACAGGTAGTCCTTGATTGACACTAGCCAGTTAACCACCATGTGAAGTTATACTGGACTAACAAAAGGTGACTTATGATCCATGCTCAATGTTAGACTGCTGCACCATGCAGTCATGTGATCACATGTCAGATGCATGGCCCACTGGCTTGCATTTGTGACTGGTTGCAGCATTCCATGGCTATATGATCATTTTCTGGCAAAAATACACCCCCACCCATTGGATAAACTGAATTCAAATTTATAATCATGTGATTTGCTTAACACTCAAGTATTCCGCTTAATAGTCATGGTGATGATTCAGTTAATGACTGTCATGAAATGGTGATCAAATTGAATTGGGACACATGGTGAATTACAGTGATTTACAACCAATATTCTGAGCTCAGTTGAGGTTGTAAGTCAAGAATTACCTGTAGTGTGAAGATAACAGTTTTCAAATGAAAAATTCCTTTGGACAGAAAGAGTGATCAGGGTTGAAGGAGGGATAAAGGGCTGTTTAAACTTCAAACCAGCAGCCATTTTACTACTCCAATTCACTTATGAAAAGATATTGTAATTTAATTCCCCAGGATTTATTGTAGTTCATAATTTCATTTTATGATCCATGCTGTGCTGACCATGGTTCCTGATATTTATGTTTTGTATGGAGCTTAATAGTGATTCACAGTCAAGTAATGACCTTCTGGAAAATTATAATCTCCATGACATCTATAAAACTATTGCTTATTCATTTCTATTTTACTCTTTAATCCTTTTAATGAGATATATATCTCATAAAATATATTCTTTCTAAAAATATAAGCTAGATTGTTTGTAAATAATCCTTGCTACTATGGCTGAATTCAGAAGCAGCACTTGTTAGAGGATATGGTCTTGAACCATATCCTCTAACAGAGTGTCAAAAAATATGGAATAATTTACAGAATGTCCCACTACATGGCAATTATTAGCAATTATTCATAACATCTTATTATTATAAATAATGAATTACTTATAATGTGAAATTATTAGAATGCAGAGTATTGACAATCCAACTACCAATGAACTAATTCATTCTCTCTGAAGTAAAGCTAAACCTAGTAATACATGAAGATTGTTATTACTAAAGATCATTATTCAAAATTACTCTTAAGTAAAGTACATCTTGAAGAGGGGAAAGCAGATGACAGAGAGAGACAGAGAAACAGAAACAGAGAAAGAAGTCAACTGACCTGTCAACCCAGCCATGACAGAGAGATGAAAGAGGGAAGCTTTCGTTTTTTTTAAAAAAAACAGTTTCTCATTTTAAGATTATTTTCTTCTTATCATCTGCAGGACATAATGGTATTATTAATCCTACTGGTTGCACTGGCAGCGATGTCTCCATCTACATTGGCGGTAAGTATTAAGGCCCAACTTTAAGAACTAGAATCAAATATAAAAATATAGGCCAGATGTTTGCAAAGGATGTGGAATACTGAAAGAAAGCTACATGTTGTAGCTTTAGATGTTTAGATGAAGATGGTTTAGGTAGGGAAAATCTGGGAATCCTTGCCTCCTACTTTGTCCTATATGGTTGGTTTCAATTATCCTGCATTTCATGTGGAGTTTCTTCTAAGTCTAAGACAGGGGTCTTAGGAGATCCCCTCATGTTGCCTGGCATCATTTACTATTAGAGAAAGTGTATGCCAGCCAAAGCAGAATCATGCAAAATAGAAAGCCACGTGCCAAGAGAAGCAGTGGTAGCAGTGTCTTTGGCCATCTGGAGAAAGCAGCTCTCACTTCAGGAGAAGAATCAAAGAGTTAGGAAAGGATGAAATTCTGGGAAAGGAACTTTGCCGCAAACTCCATGGGCTTGACTCAGAGGCCCAAGTTTTCCCATACTGCCTATCAAGACAAGAAGTAGCACATATCTGAATATGAAAACTCATCTCTTCCTTGCATCCTTTTCAAAGGTACAGTATATCTTTTTGGCCAGTGTGGGAAATGGTATGGGCTAGCAGGACGGTTCTTTTACTTTTAAGAATGAACTTTTTTCACAACATAGTACTCTTGTGCGGGAAATGGAGTTTCAGGCTAGGAAATGGGGATAAATACCACAAAGTCTGCCAGTTTATGTGGCCTCTCAATGACTTTTAAAAAGAGCTTTTGGTGTCAGTTTTGGTTCACAGCAAATTCCCTTGTTTGATTTCCCACTTGGCTTGTGCTTAGAATTAGAGTTTGATTGATTGCATTGTAAAAACTTATGGTAATTATTGCTAAGATCTACAACTACGATCCGCTGTAAATTTGTATGAATATTAAATGATGTTGATCGGTGGCTACATTATGGGACTGAAGGAAGAATACTCTGCATGTAGAAATATGCAGAGTATTCTTCCAATGACACATGCCCGTGTCATTGGAACGTGAATTTGCTACAGTATTTGCCTATGCTCCTTGAGCTGATATATTCAAAGTGACACTTTAATTTCCAAGTTAGGAGCAGTCTGACTTGAAAATTATAAAGCATGTAATTGTAATGTAATATTAGAAATAAAAAATGGGTGTGCCTTATGCACCAGCATGTTTAAACATGCTTGCATGCTCATTAAAAATATGCATTTGGTTGATGTTTGTATCTACCATCCTTCAGCAATCTGTGGAGGTCTCCCTGTTCTGTTTCCAGGCTACTTTCTAAATCAGCAAATGATAGATTGCATTAGTTTTGGCAGTGGCATGATTTTTTAAATATACATTTTATAATTATAAGCAAGAAGAAATTGGTTTTATAATGTACATATAATGTACGGTTCTTTATCATTTTTCAGGAAGCTATAGACATGAACTTTCTAAAGTTTGACCTGTCCATTTAAAATTTTCATTTAAATGCTGAACTACTTAAGCTTGGTCTAGAACCGTGATGGCACACCTATAGCATGCATGCCCAAAGTGGCACACGGAGCCATGTTGCCTGGCATGCGCAACATTGGCCATTCCTTTTCCGGGTTTCTGGCGCGCATGTGCACACGATGATCAGCTGGCCTTTGTGTGTGTGGCAGTTCTGGAAACTGGAAGAGCTGGTTCTCCATTTTCCTGAATGAGCATGCATGCCAGCCAGTTGATCAGCATGTGTGAATGCATGGCAGTAACTGGAAGACTTGCTGGCCAGCATATATGCACACAGTGAAAAACAGAAGTTCATTTCCCAGTGCATGCATGACCCCTGGGCAGCTCCTCTTCTTGATCGTGGCCCAGATGAGTGTGAACAAAGAACTCCCTTTTCAGCACTTGGTGCTGCCTACGCACGCTCCCTTTTTGGCACTTGGTGCAGAAAAAGTTCTCTATCACTAGTCTAGAATATGACCAGTGGGACCAATTATCAAATACAGGTCCTTTCCAGCAAGGTGCCTTATATATGGGTTTAATCCCTGTCCATTCTGGGGTTATTTGATGTTATAGTTCAATGCTTCTAGAAGATGTGAAGTTGGGGAAGATGTTTCTGAACAATCCTTGGATTGTACATGCTTTTTAAAAAACATGGGTGGTAAAAGAGTGACAGTACAAGCAAGGAAGGGCCGTACCTAGCAGCACCTTATGGTTTAGATAGCAACATTAAAAAGTGTGACCATGGAAAATCACTTCTTGGCAGGAGCAGTAGAAACCCCATAATCCTCATAGGTGACAGAACCAATAATGCACAGCTGGCTGTATTTTCCCAGTTGAAACTAATCCTCCATTAATCCCAGGACTAGTGCTCTCTGAAGGGAACATTAGTGCTGTTGCTAAGATATGGATATACTGTTCTTTTAAAGGAATACTAAATCCAAGCTTAAAAACCAAGTCTTGTGCTATTTCAAAAGACCACACATGGTTATGTGGGAAGAAAAACCAGGTCCATTTCCAAACAAAATAGAAGCTGCTTAAGAAAGAAGGTTTATTGGTGAGCGGAACCAAGAACAGCATGCAGTTTGGGGACAGCTAACAAAATTGGATTGGGATAGGGAGGCTTTTATACATTTTTTGGGGTGGGGAGGTTGTGTAGAGATGTTTCAGGAGGTTATGCAATGTAGTGAACTTTGTGTCTTTTTCTATTCTAATGGTGGTGGGTAAATCTTATTATGTCCTAAACCCCATGTCCTGTCCTTGGGGGAATGTAAATTCTTAATCCCACCAACTCTGGGGGAACTGGTTTGAAGGTCTTTTGTTTATGAATAAGCTGGCCTGGATTTCTTAATAGCCACAACATATCCATCTCTAAAGACTTGAGGCTTCTGCTTGAGGCTACGGGGCTGTTTTTTTCCTTTGTTAAGATTTTTTTCCATTTCTCCTTTGGGAAAATATAATATTCTGCCTCTTTTAATAGTCCCCAAAATATTTCATTCTCTGGGGGTGGGGGATTCCCACAGTTATATCAGAGGTGGGTTCCTACTAGTTTCAACCATTTTGGCAGAACTGAGAGTAACTTGGCGGCCTGGGTTTCTGGAACTGGCACCCCACCCCACCCTGAACTGGTTCTCTCGGTGGCACCTACAGCACCTTGTTTTTGCCTTCTGAGCATGCACAGGGCAATTTTTGTTGCACTGGGCATATGTGCATGGTGCATCCCTGAGCAAACTGGCAGTAGCAGCAGCTGGAACCCATCCCTGAGTTACAGTACATCATGTAAAACCTGACAAGAACTTTGGACAGATTCCTTTGTGGAGGTTAGTTATTGGTTTCTCATGGAAAATCTGGTCACTCATCCATTTAAGGAATATCAATTCCATATTTGTACCAAATTCTTGAGGTATATGGCTATTGAGAGCTATAATTCAGTTAGCAATATAAACAAAATGAGGTTCTTCACATATGGATAGATAAGACTCATTAAATCTAATCTTTTGGGGAAAGGTGAATGTACAATACTCAAAATGAGTATTATTCCCAATTTAATTTGAGTATTATTACCAGTTTAATTTATATTCTGAGAGGAATTCCTAATAAATAATAAATTATTTGTTTAGAAATTGTTTCATGGAGTTCTTCAATTCCAAGAATATCTTAACAGAAAATGCAGTTACTAGTTAATGAGGGAGGATTCAGTTTTCTGAATATCAAGTGTGAGAGGACAGGCTGGCTACAAAATGGTGCCTTGCTGGTGTCCTGTTCCTTTAAGAACTCCCCTAGCCAATCCTGCAGCTGGTGACTGTAAAAGCTGAGCAGACTGGCAACTGGTTGGTGGTGGTTCTGTTGGAGTGAGAGAGAAGGTAGTTTGTGTTTTTTGGAGGAACTAAACTGACCTGAAGTAGCCCAAGGCAAATAAAAGAGTTATTGTTTTCCAGAAGTAGGACTCACAAAAAGAAGTGGTGGAGGAACAGGAGTGGTAGAAGAATTGAGAAGAGTGATATAGTAAATAGGATGTACTAGTTCTGAGTCCTTGTGGATATTGCCTAGAGGCCAGGTGGGGTTGTTTTGGTACTCTGAAGTTTTGGAGCTCACTGACCTGGGTATGTATAAAACAGTGGTTCCCAAACTTGGCAACTTTAAGACTTGTGGACTTCAACTCCCAGAATTCTCCAGCCAGCTCTGTGCCAGAACCTGTGACATGGAGCTAAAATTACATATTGCCAACTATTGAATATGGAAAGCCAACAATTTTCTGATTTGTAACTTTGTAATATACATATATGGCACTTTTGGTTAGATGGACTAATAGAACTATAATATGTCTGAAAACAAATATTGGTTAGAAAGCTGTGGAATATAATGACTAATAAAAACATTTCTCATCTGCATTACTATGCTAAACTGACTTTATGGGGAAATCTAATATTTTAAAAAATGAGAAAATAATATGGATAAATTGAATGAAAGCCGTGACATTGACTTTAGACCAATTAATAGATGATGAATGTGAATTTTTAACATATGCTGGGCTGAGAGACAGACCTCTATCAAATGTAACTCAGTGGCAATGTTTACAGCTACAACACTTGTAAATATTGTCAGCATTTTCAGCAGAGATATTAGAGCAACTGATTAAATCTTTCAAAATTAAAAAACCTGCTATTTCTTTTTATAGATATTTGTTATTAATAAATCATGTAATGGTGGAGGAAGGAGTAGAATAAAAAAATAGATATTCCTATTTTATCTAGACAGTGGGAAAGTACTCTTCTGTAATAAGAGCATCAATTGATCTTAATTTACATGTTATACAAGAAAAAATAATATATAGATTTTAGGAAATTTCCCTTTATAGGAAAGAATTGCCTCATCGTTAATTGGTACTAGGAGGTGTGATGAGTATTAGGAGGTGTGATGAGTACCAAATAAATTTTTCCCATAAGGAATAATGTAGTGAGTTACAAAGCATCAGACACTGACAAGTTCTAACTTAAGCACTGAATACCAAACAAATGAATTCCAGGACAAAA